AGCAGGGAGCCCGATGTGGGACTCGATCCCAGGACCCTGGGATCATGACCTGAGCCGAAGGCAGACGCTTAACGACTGAGCCACCCAGGCGCCCAATTTTCTCTCTTTCTTAATAACTAATCCCCCGGGGTGGGAGGCGGTGGCCTTTACTTCTTGAGTCTTGGTGTTTAAGGAGCAGGACCAGCCTGCATAAGTCACCGGAAGATCTTGGGGCAGGTAGTTTAGAAGGGCCCCTGAAGCCAGGGCGGGTTTGGAAGGAAAAAGCATTGCCTGTTTCTAGGAGTGTTTCACATCTGAGTTTTGGGCGCAGGAACTGCTGTGGGGTCACGTGCAGGCTTGGGAGGCGGCACATGATGGGTAGGGGGCTTCCTGTCTCCCAGTTTTGGCTGCTGAGGCTTGACGAGGTAGAGAACATCTCTCATTCATTCATGCAGCCCTTCTGTTAATCCTTATTGAGCACCTACTGTGTGCTGGGCACTGTTCAGGGCTCTGGGGACACAGCAGCGCACAAAACAAGATCCTTGCCCTGTGTTACTGACGCTTAAGTGGGGACATGGACAAGAAACCGCTAAGTAAATATTAGTGTCAGATGTGATGAATGCTGTGAAGGGAAACAATGCAGGGTAAGGGCACAGAGAGTAAGGGTTTGTTTACTCGAAGGTGCTATTTGTCACCTATTGTCACCACACAATGGGATGATCTGTCCTAGCCCCTTTGGGGGGGGTGTCATGTGATGAGTTCTGCCTAATGAGCTATGAGAAGTCATGCGTGTTATTTCCGGTCCAAATTATTTCATTGCCAGCACAGGGCTCTCAAGAGCACTCTTTCCTCCTGCCACGATAGTGGAACCACCCGGATGGTGGCTGCTCCATCAGCTTGAGTCCTTGAGTGATTTCAAGAAACAGAGTCCCCCTGCCAAGCTGTGAGGGGCATGTAGTGTGAGTGAGAAATGAACTGCTGAGTTTGAGGGGTCCTTTGTTATGCAGATCCCTGAACCCAGCCTGACTGATACAGGCGCTGTGGCTAACTTGGAAGGAGGGGTCAGGGCAGGCCTTCCCAAGGAGGGACATTTGAATAGACACCTGAATGAAGTGAGTGAGGGAGGCGTGCAGATATTTGAGGGAACAGCATTCCAGAAAGAGGGAACAGCCTGCAGAAAGGCCTTGAGGCTGGAGCCTGTGAAGTGTGTTTGAGGAACAGTGAGGGGACCAGTGTGGCTGGAGCTGAGTGAATAAGAGGAAGAATGGGGGCAGATGAGGGCCCAGGGGTGACTGGGCAGATCATGCCAGGCTTTGGGGGTCGTGGTGAGGCGTTCAGCTTTTACCCCAAGTAAGATGAGAGCCACGGAGGGTTCTGAGCCACGATGGGCTGGAGTAAGGGAGGCATTCAGCACAAGCCCCAGAATAGCATGACTGCTCTAGACAGTAGCCATGGTGACCATGATTTCTTTTTTTTTTTTAATTTTTTAATTTTTTAATTTTTTTAAAGTTTTTTTGTTTTGTTTTTTTAAAGATTTTATTTATTTATTTGACAGAGAGAGAGACAGCGAGAGCAGGAACACAAGCAGGGGGAGTGGGAGAGGGAGAAGCAGGCTTCCTGCTGAGCAGGGAGCCTGACGCGGGACTCGATCCCGGGACTCCAGGATCATGACCTGAGCCGAAGCCAGTCGCTCAACCGACTGAGCCACCCAGGCGCCCGGTGACCATGATTTCTATTGGGTTTTTTTAAATTATTATTTTGACATCTGAAAGGGAGTCTTCAAGTGATTATTCTCCTCTCTGCAGCTAAAGTGCTGTTAGGTGAAGAACTACACAGATTTTTCTGGTTACTGCTACCCCAGGAGCGGCTGTAAATCCATCGGGACCGCAGCCTGCGATGGGCGTGACGTGTCCACAGACATCATCCACCAGGGGGTAACTCGAGACTGTGTTGGGGGTCACCTACATACACCCCAAGGGTGGGTGATTTTTAGAAAAGTTGTGTATTTGCCAGAACCCCAGTGAGAGTGGTCAAGGGCAAAAGAAAGCAACTGTCATTGGGTGTTCAGCTCATTTTGGCTACACAGCCTTGGGGGCTTAGGGTTCCCATCCTCATTTCTCATATGGGGAAACTGAGGTTCAGGGAGGGGACAGTTCAAGGTCAGTTCAAGTGGCTTTGGTGGAGCTGGGTTTGGCCTGAGTCCATTCCCTGGGCTACGTTGCCTACCTTACAGAGGGCTTACAATATAGCAGTAATGATGAACAATGATCATTCTAGGAGAGTGTCAGCTCCCCAGGGGGCCGGGCACTCACTTTGTGAATTCCGTCCTCATCCCACGCCATGATGAGGTGGGGAGTGCTTTTCTCCAATTTTATAGATGAGGAGACTGAGGCACAGAAAGTTGCCCAGCACTTACTCACCACCTGACAGTGTTATTGCTGTATTGATTACCTGTGTTCACCACTCAGATGTTGGCCCCACCAAGGCAGGAATTATGTCTGTTTTGTACATCGCTGGGTTCCCAGTGCTTAGCTCACAGTAGACACTTAATCACTGCATAGTGAGTAAAGGGGGCACTGAATCCTGTCAGGAGCAAGCTCAAGGCAACTCAAGCTTCTGAAAGCAAGAATTGCCAGGGGCCTAGAAAGGAGAGCATCTCCGTGACTGCAGGAGAGGAAGTGGGTAGCTACTCTACCCACACACTGTGTCTGGTCTCTTAATTTCTCTGAACCTGTTTCTTCACCTACAAAACAGAAAAAAGAATAGTACCCACCTTTTGAGGTTACAGTGATAAATAAGTGAGAAAACACATGTAAACGGCTGAGAAGGTGTTGGATACATGTTAGCCCTTCTGTTCACATGTAAAGAGCACCCAGAAATAACTAACAGTTACTGAATACTGGCTGTCAGGCCTCTGTTATGTACTTCATGTAGATTTTTTTTCTCTTAATCCTCACAAAAACTTGGGCAGCAGATCCAGTTGGTCCCATTTACAGTTGGGGAAACTGAGGCACAGAGTGGTGTGCGACTTCTCAGGGTCACACAACTAGCAAAATAACTTGGGACATCTGGTCATACTCTTATTCACCACACTTGGGGGTCACTACAGATAGATCCTGGGGAATACGTGGTATGTTCTGGGTGAGGTGAGGGAACAAGGAGGCCAGGGAAGACGCTGGGATAGGGGAAGCAGTCAAGTGAGGAGTCAAGGTCCTTGTGGCTTTGTCCCCTTCTCCTCCCTGAATCTGAGAGGAACATCACTGGCCCAAGGGGTGGGGCCAACGGGAACTTGGAGTCCAGAAGCCCTTAACGAGGTTCTTTGGTTTGATATTTGTATCCTCAGGGCTGTTTCCCCAAGCTCTTGAAAATAACCAAGACTCAGAGCTTCAACTTGAGTGGGGGCTTACTGGGGGCAGCAGTGATACAGGTAAGGCCTAGGCCCTTTGGAACACAGTGAGCTCTTTTATTGAGCACCTACTGTGTGCCAAGCACTGTTCTGGGCACTGGGGATCCCTGCTATGGTGGAGCTGACATTCAAGTGGGGGTGGGGGATGGATGATCATTTCAGTTAAAGATCCCTTCTGGGAAGGGAGTAACGCAGGGTGACAGGATCGGGAAGGGAATCAGGGATGACTTCCCTGCAGAGGTGACATTTGACCAGTGACCCGAGGAGATGAGGGATAACCATGTGTGTGTATGGGAGAATCCGGAGGAAACAGCTGGTGCAAAGGCCATGAGGTAGCAATAGGCTTGGCTTATTCACGGACCAGCAGGGAGGCCACTGTGGCTGGAGCAGGGTGAGTGAGAAGAGGGGTAGGGAGAGATGCGGGCAGGGAACTGATGGTAGATCATACAAGACCTTGTAGGCTGCAGAGAGGGGTTTGACCTTTATTCTGAGAATGATGGAAAGCCAATAGAAGAGTTTTAATGTTCACTTTTTCAGTCCACAAAACTTACTGAGCACCTCTTTGGACCAGGCATTGTTGTAGGCACTGTGGATACAACAATGAACTCCACAGGCAAAAATCTCTGCCCTCGTGGGCATTCTAATCAGCAGCGGGAGACAAGAAGTATGATTTTTTCAATTGGACAATTTATTGTATGGTATTGATAAGTGCGTGGTTGTTTTTGTTTTTGTTTTGAGACAGTTAGAGAGCATGAGCAGGGGGAGGGGCAGAGGGAGAGGAAGAACCCCAAGCTGACTTCGCACTGAGTGCAGAGCCCAAGGCGGGGCTTGATCCCAGGACTGAATTTTCTTTTCCTACCTCATTTAAAAGACAACTGCATAAGGCAATACCTATAAAACTGTGTTTACAGGCTGATATTAAGATGTAATTCACATGACAATAGTAGCACAAAGGAGGGTGGAAAGAAAAGAGATATATAGGAGTAGAGTTTTTGTATGCTACTGAAATTCATTTAGTGTTAATCCAAACTAGGTTGTAAACAGTTAAGATATTAATTGTAATCCCAAGGGCAACCGCTAAGAAAAGAACTTTAAAATACAACAAAAGAAACAAGGGAATTAAAATGCTGCACTAGAAAATATTTAACACAAAAGAAAGTTGAGGTGAGCAAATAGAACAAGGACAAAACACAAATGGAAAACAAATAGCGAAATGGCATATAGAAATCTTACCTTCTCAGTAGTAACATTAAAGATAAAGGGATTACACCACTTAACTGTACACTTTAGAAAAGTGAATTGTATGATATATGAATTTTCTCAATAAAGCTCTTATTTTAAAAAAAAAAAATAGCCTCCATCCCTCTGGGCCCCCACGAAGTTTTTTTTTTTTTCACTCAGGCGCTTCCCTCAGATTGATTTTCAAGATGCAGTAGTGTTTCTCTGCAGATCACTGCCAGTTGAGAGATGAATGAGTCTCATCCATCTGATCTGTATTTTAAAAATGGGTATTTTTTTTTCATTGTACAAATTTATATCGAATATATGTTTGCAAACTATACCACACCCTCTTCCCCAGGGAGGTCATAATAGTCAAGATCCCAGCAGGAAACAGAATGCAGCCCCCAGGTGGTCCTTTTAATAAATTTTCAGAGGCTTCCTTGCTGAGGTGTGGACAGGGTTAAGAAAAACGGAGGGATGAGGTGCTGAGGGGCTAGCAACACGGGAGCTTTTACTTCTGGGCCTGAAGGGGTGGGGAAAGCAAGAGTCAAGGAAGAGGCGCCATCTGCCCACGGCTGCAGTCTTGAAGAGCTCAGGGTGGGCCGGAGAGAGGAGGCAGTCGGGAAGAAATACTCCAACTTTTCCTCCAGCCTTCCCATCTTCTGCAGGTAGGTGTCTCCTATTGGGCGGCTGCGGTTCCATAATCGGAAGTGAAAGGGCAGGAGGTTCTGGGAAATGTAGTTCGCAGGACCCAGGGTAGGGCCAAAAGAGGGTGGAGATAAGATCTGTGGGAAACAAAGGGAAAATGACCCAGGTGCATCACAAAAGGCCTCCATCTTCGGCTCACGACTGAGACTGATTGTGGAAACAGGTTCAAAGCGGCTCCAGACTGACCATCCGGGGCCTTCCGCTCTCTGTAAAACCCTGCCCTTCACCTTACAGGAAGAAGATACTCCTCTCCCCCTGTCAGTGTATCCAATTTGCTTTGGGTTCCAGAGGTCCCTTAAGTTGGTTCAATATTTCTTTCTTCTCCCATTTCAGCTGCCAGGAATTCTTGCCACTTTGCTGCTATTCATCAAAGGAGACAGACGGAGCTGGGGGGAGGACAGGACATCTGGTCCACCTGGCTGCTGGAGATTTTGTCTCATTATTTCTCTGTGGCCCTCACTGCTTTTGGAAGAGAGATTGGTAATAAAAGATTTTGGAAAGCACCGTTATCCTGATCCTTTTTCCTTCATTTTATTTTTTATGGCATCTAGCAATGGTTTTGGCCCTAAGTACCTAAATGGGATGACATGGCCTCCCTTCTCATGCAGTTGTCTTGTTTTGTAAATTATTTTGTGAAAAAAAAAAAAATCTAAAATGTCCACAAAAAGAACCAAAAGAACTTTTCCAAAGAAACTCCTATATACCCATCACCCAGATTCAACAGTCACCTCGAGTCTGACATGTTTGTTTCATGATCCCTTTTTCCCCTTGATGAAGTATTTAGAAACGAATCCCAGACAATGTCATTTCTCCCCTCATACTTCAGTACACAGAGATCTCTAAAAATGTATACATCTGTGTCAGCCCCAAGGCTATCATCACACCTGACTAAATGTTTGTGTGTCCGCCCCCCCCAAATTCCTATGTTGGAACCAAATTCCCAATGTGATGGTCTTGGGAGGTGGGGCCTCTGGGAGGTGACTAGGTCATGAAGGCTGAGCCCTCACGAATGGGATTAGTACCTTATAAAACAGACACCAGAGAGCTCCTTTGCTTCTTCCACAAGAGGACACACGAAAAAAAAAAAATCCAGCCATCAATGACCAGAACACTGGTCTTCCTTCACCAGACACTGAATCTCCTGGCACCTTGATCTTGAACTTCCCAGCCTACAGAACTGGGAGAAAGAAATGTCTTTTGTTTATAAGCCACACAGTCTGTGGTATTCTGTTAGTAGCAGCCCAAATGGACCAAGGCAACATCTAAGACAATTAGCAACCATTCCTTGTTATCACTCAACACCCAGGCCACAATCGGAATTTTCCTGATTGGCTCAAAAATGTCTTTTTACATTGATTTCTTGGCATCTTGTTTGTTTTTTATTGAGATATAATTGACATGTAACATATTTGTTTCAGGGGTACAACATGATTTGATATTAGTATACACTGCAGAATGATGGCCACAGTAAGTCTAATGAACATTGCCATACATAGTTACAAACTTTTTTCTTGTGATGAGAACTTTTAAGATCTACTCTCTTAGTAACTTCCAAATATGTAATACAGTGTTATTAACTCTAGTCACCATGCTGTACTTTACATCCCCCAGCACTTACACATTTGGTTTCTTTGCAATGGATCCAAATAAGGTCCACATATCACGTTTACTTGTCATGTCTCCTAGATCCCTTTTATTCTAATCCAGCTGTTCTCAAATTAGAGCGTGCATTAGAGTCCTCTGAATGTTCTGTTAAAGCACAGATGCTGGGGGAACCACTCCTCCGGGTTCGTCCTCCTCTTCTCCCACCCCACCAACCTTTGATTTGTTGCAGAAAGAGTATGGGGGCCCCTGGGTGGCTCTGACGGTTAAGTATCTGCCTTGGCTCAGGTCATGATCCTGGGGTTCTGGGATCGAGCCCTACATGGGGCTCCTTGCTCAGCCGGGAGCCTGCTTCTCCTTCCACTGCTGCTCCCCCGTTTTGTCCTCCCTCTCTCTCTCTCTCAAATAAATAAATAAATAAGATCTTAAAAAAAAAAAAAAAGAGCATGATTTACTCCTTGCTTCTACTGTGAACCCTTGATCTTCTTCCTCCCTCCCCCGTATTTTCCTGTAAGTCACTGGTTCTCAGCCCTCTGGGAACTTTCACAAAATACCCAAGCCTGCACCCCGACTTCCACCTTCTGATTTAATTGGATGGGGCCTGGGTGTGGGGACTCTGACATTCACCCAGAATCTAAGGGTGGGCCATGGTCACTGCTGAGAAATAATCCAAGGGCTTCATCCAATGACTGCAACTACCTGAATCAGTTCTTTCATTGGGGATTGCAAAATGGCGGTTTATCTGATCTTTCCATCTTTCTTTGGGGGGGCTGATTTTGAGGAAGCTAAAATGAGCACATGTTGTATTTGTTATTGCTGCAATCACCTCCTGCTTCAGGAAAGAACACACCAGTTTCCTTTGGAGCCAGCCCACCTCTCAGATGTCTGTCCCTAAGCAGGGCCATCACGTGGTCTCAGCCAGCCAATCAGCACGTTCCATCTCTCTGCCCGACGTTCGGGTTCAGGTGGCCGTGGGTACTCGTTTGGGGGACTTGGGATAAGATGACCAGTTCCCTTGAAGCTCACCTCACCTCGCGAGGGCAAGGCTGTAGAGCAAAGGCACAGAGAGCAGTTGAGAAGCCTGGGACAGTATGTGAGTCCGTGGATCTAGCTCCCACTTGAGCTCTGCAGGTCATACATTCACTCAACAAACGTCTAGGGTGCGCCGGCTCTAAGTCATAAATGAACTATTTTTACTGACGACACTTCTGACATCAAATGTGTGTGTGTGTGTGTGTGTGTGTGTGTGTGTGGAGGGGTTTCACACCAAACGATTCTCTCCGGGCACCAACTGGGTGTCCTAGAGTTCAATTCTGACATTACCCGGTGTTTGAGGCAGATACCACAAACTTTAGGGCTCCGTCCGACTAGACTGCCCCCACTTCAGATGCCAGTTTCAAGTATTGGGTCTCCAGGGGACCCATACTTCTGACTGACTTGGTTCCAAAATCAGGGGGCTCCAACAAGTCTTGATAGATTGTCAGGCTTGATAATTAGAATCTCACAGAGCTCAGGAAGCACTTTAGTTACTATTATTAGTTGATTATGAAAGGATATATAAATCAGGAACAGCCAAACGGGCAGGTAAGGTATGGAGAAGGCGTGCAGAGCTTCCATGTCCTCTCCTGGCATGCCACCCTCCCAGCACCTTGATGTGTTTCTAATCCAGAAGCTCTCTGCATTTTGAGCTGGGAGGGGGCAGGGAGCCAACGTGGGGCTGATCCCAGGACCCTGAGATCATGACCTGAGCCAAAGGCACTTAACCAACTGAGCCGGCCAGGTGCTCCTTGTTTTTTAGGCTTTTTTTTTTTTTTAAAGATTTTATTTATTAGAGAGAGAGAGAGAGGGAGAGCGGGCACAAGCAGGGGGAGCAGAGGGAGAGGGAGAAGCAGACTCTCTGCCGAGCAGGGAGCCCGATGCGGGGCCCGACCCCAGGACGCTGAGATCATGACCTGAGCCGAAGGCAGACGCTTAACCGACTGAGCCACCCAGGCGCCCCTGTTTTTTAGGCTTTTTATGGAAGTTTCATCACTCAGGTATGATGGATAAAATCATTGGCCATTGGTGATTAACTCAATCTCCAGCTTGTCTCCCCTCCACTTTAAGGTCAGGGGGCTGGGTTCATTGTTCCCACCCTCTAGTCGTGGTGTGGTCTTTCTGGAGGGACCAGCCCCCCTCCTGAAGCCACCTAGAGACTCCCCGCCACCAGGCCTCTCATTAGCATACAAAAGACGCTCTTATCACTCCAGAAATCCCAAGGGTTTTAGGAGCTGTGTGCCAGGAACCAGGGACAAAAACCAAATATTTCTTTTTTATTCTATCAAACAGGAACTGAGCTGGGTGTGGTGGTGAAAAATAAAACATCCCTGCATTTGAGGGACTGGTATTATATTGAAAGAGACACTTGTTTAAGTTAAACAAGTAAATATCTATATAATATCTATATAATTATATATATAAATATATAATAACAAGTATATAGTAGTTTTGATTCTAGGTGCTATGGGGAGGAGGACACAGGGAAGGGGACATCAGAAATGGCTGCGGAGAGGTTGCAGTACTAAACAGGGAGGGGAGAGGAGGGAAAGGGGGCCAATGGGAAGGTGAGATTTGCACAAAGACCTGAAAAGGGGTGAGTGAGAAGAGCCATTTGACTTCAGGCAGATGGACCAGCCAGTGCAAAGGCCCTGAGGCAGGGGCCTGGTGTGTTCAAATAGCGGCAAGGTCAATGTGACTGCAGCAGAGCAAATGTGGGGGGCAAGTGGGGAGAATTGAGGGAAGTGACAGGTCAGATCACACAGGACCTTGTGAGCTGCAGGGAAGACTCAGGCATTTACTCTGAGTGGGAGCCACAGAGGGCTCTGAGCAGAGGAGCAATGGGAAGACTTGGGTATTCACAGGCTCCCTCTGCCTGTTGTGGGGAGGACAGATCATCCTCTCTACCACACAGCAAACTTTCCAGGGCCAAGGTGGTGGACATGAGGCCTGGCTAGAGGCAGCCCCAGACCTGAGCCTCCTCCCTAGCCTGATCCAGATTCTGCTGCATTACATAGCCCTCGACCAACCATCTACGTGGCTGTAAATCAACCACCCTCTTCCTGAAAACCACGTTTTATTAACGGCAATAAAAGAACAACTGCATCGGGGCATAACGGCTTTATTTTCTCTTGTGGATAAAAGTGCTCGTCTTTCCGAGTGGACATCAAGGAATCGCTTACACAGGAGAACCCATCCAGTACCTAAATGACTGAGTCGAGAGCTCACTCCGTAGTGTTTTGGGATCGCAGGGGAGAAGCCAGTTCATGGAATTAGCGCTTCAACACCGAGACCAAATTTCACCCCTTACTTACAAGAACATGATCTCTGGGGAGGCCAAAGAAAGAGAAGGAAAAAGCAGAACCCCAAACCCCCAACCCCAAACCGTGGTCATGGCAGTGGAAAGATGAGCTGCTAAAAGCAAATGGTGAGAATATAGGACCCAGCCTCAGGCTCCCTTCCCAGACCCCGGTCTCCCTGGAGTTGAGAAGTGGTTTTCCCGCAGCCTTTGGCTTCATTTTTGTTTGTAAACTCAACAAATCTCCATCCCTCTGACCAGGTACCACCACCCCCACCCACATGATCTCCCAGGACAGTGGTTTTGGTTCCCCAGAGACCATCATGAGTGAAGCCTCCCACCCAAAATTATAAAATAAAAACTTGCATTATTTTTAGAAAAAAAACAAAAACCCTCTCCTACATTATTCCCAATTTTGAGAAAACCCAGAGGCAGCTACCTGTCTCAGTTGCTACTTAAAGCTCAACTGTTCAAAAATCATGTGTAAACACAAGGCTTACTTCACGTCAGGTACAGGGCACAGCCAAAGCTATTTTTTATCATGCGGGCTATGACAAGTTGGCTCGTCCCTTAGGTAATGGCACTTTGAACCACCATTTTTTTTTTTTTTTTGGCAAGCAGCTTAAGGAAAATGGGGTGGCCTACAGAATCTTGACAGCCTATGGTGCATCTTAACAGGTTTTGGGGTTTTTTTAATAGCTCCTTTAATTTCCCCTTTATGTTAAAGCAACTAACATTTTTGACTCCTGCCCCCAAACATTCCCCAAACTCACTGTATGTTTCCAGAAACTTGTCCATTTCACCAGTCATCTGACTTGCTGGCTTACAGATACCCTCTCTTTGAAGCTCTAAGGGCAGCCCTTGGCAAGGGATGTATGGGGCCCTCTAGAAATAAATTCGAAGTAGAGCTTCTATAAAGGCTAAGAGCGAAGTTCCACTTGAACCAGATCTTCCTCACTTGCAGGAGGAAGCTGAGATCTTTAAGGCTATAGCAAGTCATTTTGGTGGCAGGGGCTGGGGGCGTACACAAACCATCTGTTTAGACCATCTTCACAGTGTCTGTCAAATTATGGGATGTTAGTTGGTATTCCGGGGCAAAAATGGGTGCCATGCCACTGGAGTTTGGCCTTGGGTGGGCAGGAAGGACACTGAGCTGGGGTGGGGTCGGGGGGAGAGCAAGATGGAGATCCCCAGACTGCACATAATCTCCCAGCAGGAGCCCCCACCAGCTGGGGAGCCCAGCCTTGTGGGCTCCCTGATCATGTGTCAACCAGGGAGACTGGTTCCCAGCCCATCCCCATCAGCCTGCCACTCCCAAGCTGTGTCCGTGAAGCACATGTAGCAACAGTAATTACCCAATCCTGCCTTCTTGCCCCTTCAGCCCAACCCTATAGCCTCGCTTAGAGTCACTCCTCCATTAGTAGGAAACATCACCTCTCTGGGCCCCACCAATGACATGGCTCAGGAAATAGGACTCTGGGTCTTCAAGGGTCCTTGAGGGGGAGGAGCCCGAGTCCTTCTATCGGCAAGTCGCCAGCAAGAGCAGGTGATAGGAACATTGCTCAATTTCCTTTTCTAGCAGGATGGAAGATGTGGAAAGACCTTGCTTAAAACATCACCAGCTAAATGGGGCCTGGGAGAGGCAGGAAGGGGCGGGAGGTCCGGGGCTCCCGGCTCTGAGGTTAACTCCCTGCAAAAAGTCCCGAGCAGGAACGCCACAGCTTGGGCCATTCTCTGCCCAGTCTGATGCGGCCCATGGTTCCAGAATTCAATCCAGGGATCAGAGATGCTGCAGTGGATAAGCCAAAACAGTGGCGGGGGTGTGGTTGATGTGAAATCCTGGGGAAGCTCAGAAGGCACTTCTGGAGTCCCTGAAGCCGGTGGGGGGGTGGGCCTCTGACTTCCTGCCCCTTTACTAAGGGAAAACCTGCTTTAATACTGCTTTCACAGACAGAGGATCTGCAGGCCAGTAGGCAAGGGTCTGCAAGGGCTAAAATCACCTTCCCGCCTTGGAAGCTTGAGGTCCAAGGAGGTTCATGGGTGGGCCTGGGATCACACCAGGGGACCCTGAGAAAGGACTCACCTTCCACCTCCCCAGGAATGAACTCTGAGGACCTACACTGCAGGAGGAAGATGACGAAGCATCTTTGACCAGCTTGTGAATGCCAGGCAATACCCCAACACAGAATGGATGAGGACAAGAGTTCTAACCCCAGAAGGCACTGTGGAGGCCCCTCCACCAGACGGGGTGGGACATGCTGCCCATGCTCCCTCCGTTAGAATTCCTGAAAAGCAGCAAGCTCGTGCATGTCAACGCACCCAGACTCTGCCCACAGTGCAGAATCCCCAGGGTCTGGAGCTTGTGATAAGGCTGCTTGGGCAAGTCGGAGGTCATGCGGGAGCCGGGGCAGCTGACGGGAGGGAAGGGGGCGCCCTGAGCTTGGAAACAGCCCTTGTGGCTCATGCCTCAGTCACAGTCCCTGCCAAGGCCGGAAGGGGTGGGCAGGGGTTGGGGACCATCTCTAGCAGCTGCAGCTGCTAGGCTCAGGGGGTGGGGCATCCCCCAAGGCCGGGCCTTTCCCATTGCTCCCCGGGCTGGAGCTGGGTTCTAGGGACTCATTCATCTTCTCACAGATGATGTCCACCAGGCGCTCAAAGACCTGCTTCACGTTCATGTTCTCCTTGGCGCTGGCCTCAAAGAACTCAAAACCTGGACGGACAAAAGGTGGGAACACCAGTGAGACCCCAGGAGGGCAGAGCCTGGGCATTACCCAAACCTGGTTTCCAAGCCCAGGTCTGCCCTTCATGCAGTTGTGGGACCTTGGCTGAGTGCCGAAGTCTCTCAAAGCCTCAGCTGGCTCATCTGTAAAAAGGGAACGATGCTGATGCTGATAAAAATCTGCCCCGGTTTGGACTATTGCAGGAATCTCTTTGTCACAAAGCAATGGCTGCAAGAGTCCAGCAAGTAATGTTCTGGTGCCCGGCAGGCATTTAACAAACAGTGGTTTCCCAGCGTCTGTGGGGCATATGGGATGCCCACAGTCTTGACCTACAGAACATACTAAAGGTTGTAATAATGAGGGGCGCCTGGGTGGCTCAGTTGGTTAAGCGTCTGCCTTCGGCTTAGGTCATGATCCCGAGGTCCTGGAATCGATCCCCGCATTGGGCTCCGTGCTCAGCAGGGAAGTCTGCTTCTCCCTCTCCCCCTGCCCCTCCTCCTCTGCCCCTCCCTTGTGTGCGCCCTCGCTCGCTCTCTCTAATAAATAGATAAAATCTTTTTCTTTTTTTAAGTGGTAATAATGATAGTAATAAATAAGAAGAAGCAAACACCCAGGCGGCCCTAACTTGTCTCTCATTTAAAAACAAAAAGCTTGTCCTGGGCGCCTGGGTGGCTCAGTTGGTTAAGCATCAGACTCTCAATTTTAGCTCAGGACATGATCTCAGGGTCCTAGGATTGAGCCCAGCTCCTTCTCCCTCTCCCCCCCACCGCCAACACTAAAATTAAAAAATTAAAAAAAATTTTTCATTTAAAAAAGCTTGTCCTTCCAAAGGTGGAAGGTAGTACAAAGGCTTTGGGGACTTGCCCATGATCCCTCAGCTGCAGAAAGTGGGGGCTGTCGACCTAACAATAAGGGTGTACATGACAATCCTTCCTGCACCCCTAAAAGGTTGGCTCAGGCTCTCCCTACAGGGAGTTACCCCGAATGGTTCCTGATAGGTCCACCCCCACCACACCCACCAAGTTGGGCCAGAAATTCAGACAAACGCCCGCCATATTACACACAGCATACGGTAAAAAGGGCCCTATCCCAGCACTTGTCATGCTGTACTATAAAAATGTAATTACCCATTTACTCTCCATCTCTGCTCCTGGAATGCCAGCTCTGGGAGGGCAGGATTGCCGTCTGCCTTGTCTTGTGCCTGGCACAGAGTAGGTGCTCAGGAACTACTTGCTGAGTGATTGATTGATTGATTGATTGATTGAATGAATGATGGAGGCAGGCCACGAATTCAGATCTCTTACTCCGAGCCTAGTGCTCATCAATGTCACCCCACTGTCTTCCTAGGCAAGGCTGGCATATCCTTATCTGTGTGTGGCTCTGCCTCAATCTGAGTTCTTTCTATATTTTTATTTTTATTTTTTTATTTTTTTAAATTTTTTTAAGATTTTATTTATTTATTCATGAGAGATAGAGAGAGAGAGGCAGAGGCAGAGGGAGAAGCAGGCTCCCCGCGGAGCAGGGAGCCCGATGCGGGACTCGATCCCAGGACCCTGGGACCATGACCTGAGCCAAAGGAGGACGCTTAACCGACTGAGCCACCCAAGCGCCCCTGAGTTCTTTTTTTAATACTTTTTTCTCCTGATTATCAATATTCAGTGGAGAAATTCACTGAAGTTAGAAACTACTGAAAAATATCAAGACGGATATAAAAGCTATTTGTAAGCTCATCATCCAGAAACAACCACTATTGGTGTTTTGATATTTTGCTTTCCACTTTTTTTTTTTAATATAAATACACAATTATTGGGGTTGGGTCTATAGGGAGTATGTGCGTGTGTGCGCGCATGCATGCGTGTGTCGTTTTTTTCCTACAAAACTGGCATCAAATTCTGTCTCCTGCTCTGTATGCCAGTATTTTAAACTTAATGACAGAGTAGGAAGCCCCCTCACCCCCATTCACTAGATGTTCTCTGCAAGGTGGGGGCAACATCCACAAGTATTCCAGCCCATGGCTGGAAACCATAGCTGATTTCACCACCCTAGGCAAATTGGGGATCTAGGCCCCAGCTGCAAAGGCTGACTCCCCATCATACCTGGAAATGAGACCCAACCTGGAGTTCTCAGAAAACACAGGGAACAGAGGAACAGGTTAAATGACACCACCAGGGAGCAAAGAGCCAGATCTCAAATGGGAGATATTCCATCGAACAAAGACCCAGTTTGTCCAACAAATAGATGGTAAGAAAAAAAGAGAAAGAAGACTATGTATAGTCCAGGATCCCTGAACTTTCTCCGTAAAGGGCCAGATAGTAAATATCTGAGGATTTGTGGGCCATTATGGGGTGCCTAGAGTTTCGTGGGCAAGCATCAACAACAGTTCACAATCATGCTCGCTAACACTTAGCTACAACTGCATGTGTACCAGACGCTGATATGGGCCTCATATGTCATAACTCATTTAGGCCCCCTGACAGCTTGATGAGCTGGGGCTGTTACAATCTTCATTTCACACAAGAGGAAGTGCAGGCCCAGACAGCTGAAGTTACCAATACAAGATCACAAAGTGATAGAGAAAGAATATGCGTTAATGTTCAATCAGGGCCAGTGTTGGCTTATTTCATCTTTCTAACAGCGTTCTGAAGGAGACACGGTTTTCACTCTGTTTTCCAGATGGAGAAATGGAAGCACAGAGAGGGGAGGCGATGTGCCCACGGTCACACAGCTAGTGGGTTGCAGAATGGGATTCGAGCTCCTGAGTCTGGGTCCTTAACCCACCCTCCCCTTTGGTGGTGGTTACACTGCCTCCTGCAAGGGAAGTTCTATGGAGGGCTTAGAATACTAGAATACTCCAGGCAAGATTTCCTTTTAGCTTAGGGGTGCCTGGATGGCTCAGTCAGTTAAAGCGTCTGCCTTTAGTTCAGGTCATGATCCTGGGGTCCTGGGATGGAGCCCTGCTTTGGGCTCCCTGCTCAGTGGGAAGCCTGCTTCTCCCTCTCCCACTCCCCCTGCTTGTGTTCCCTCTCTCGCTGTGTCTCTCTCTGTCAAATAAAAAATAAATAAATAAAAAATATTTCCGATCTGGCCCTTTAAGAAAACATTTGCTGAGCTACGGACTAAAGGAAGCAGCCAAGCCCACCTCTCTGCAATTTGCTTTTCCCACTTAGCCCCATATCCCACAGACCTTGCCATAGCAGAACATAAAGAACGTGTCCACCCCTTTTCACAGCTGTGTAGTATTCTACCGTGTGGCTGTGCTTTATGCTTCGAGGCTTCCCCCATGGTGAGATATTTAGTGCTGTGATTTGATACACTCGCCACTTCCCACGTGGGTGGGATGTTTGGAGGATACATTTCTGGCCATGTTTTTGCCCGATCTGGGTTCCCAGGGCAGCGGGGAGGCGGGCAGTATCTGTCACTGAGTTCTCTGAAATTAAATGCAGAAGGTGGCACACCTGTGGCTATTTTCCTGAGCGGAGCCTCAAAGGGCAGAGGGTTGATGACTGCGATTGGACCCGGGACCCAAGGGTGGGGGTGGGGGGATTGGGGTTTAGTTCTGGGAGGTCCAGGGCTCGGGGCCCAGGCTGGGCACTAACCAAGGTCATCGGCGAGCTTCCGGCCATCCTCAGTAGGCACGACCCGCTCATCTTCCAGGTCACACTTGTTCCCCACAAGGATCACCTGAGCATTGTCCCAGGAGTAGGTCTTGATCTGTGTGGCCCTGTGGAGTTTGAGGGCCATGAGGCTAGAAATGGAGAGTCAGGGGGAGAGGGCGATGGTCAGGGTGTCACTGGTCCACGAGCACTCACCAGTCCTGCACGGCGGCGAAGGACTCCTGGTTGGCAACGTCATACATGAGCAGGAAGCCCATGGCTCCACGGTAGTAGGCCGTGGTGATTGTGCGGTAGCGCTCCTGGCCCGCCGTGTCCTAGGCACACAGCAGGGTCAGACCACCAGAAGCTACCCTGCTCCCCACCGAACCCCTGCAGGGCCCTAAGCGGGCCACCACCCTGTGCTCACAGCCCCAGTCTGACGGGAGGCATGGCCCTGCCTCTGTGGAGTTCCCAGTCTGAGGGGTCAGTGGCCTCTCACAGATTTGTACCTCATCTCCAAGAACAGACTTAGTGACCCCAGGCAAGAGCCACCTGGGCCAGAGAGTACCAACTCGGGGCGGACACCCTGGTGTGCAGTACCATGATAATCGCTATCGGCGGCCATGTTGGGAGTGAGAGCCTCTGAGGAGCACACAGGCTCTGTGGGGGATCCTGGGATGGTACCCAAACCTCTTCCCCACTGGTCACCAGGACTTCTAACCCGCCTCGGGTTAGCACTCTCTGCCCCTCAGACCCTATAGGGCAGGGCATATCCTCATCCTGATGAATTCACCTCATAGATAACTCCCCCCACCCCCTCTGCCACCTTTCACATCTACCCCAAGCCTCCTCCCTCACTTTGGCCCACTCTCGCTCACCCGGGGCCCCTCCGCACAGCCCTCCACCCTATCATGGACTTCCTTGGAGGAACCCCAGCCCCTCCTGGGCCAGCACGCAGACCCCTGTCCCTTGCCCCAGATCCAAAGTCGCCGCCTGGCCCACCCAGATCTGCAGCTTGATCCTCTTGTCATGGCGATAGACCGTCTTGACCTTGAAGTCGATGCCCACGGTGCTGACGAAGGCAGGCGTGAAGGAGTCGTCCGCATAGCGGAACAGGAAGGACGTCTTGCCCACACTGCTGTTGCCAATGAGCAGCAGTTTGAACATGTAGTCGAAGTTCTGGTCGGCTGCATCCCGCGGGCCTGTTGGGGGGTCTCCGGCTGATGCCATCTTGGCAGAGAGCCTCCAGGGGACGAGGGGGCAGCTGGAGCCCTGCAGAAAAATAAAACACCAGGAATGGCTCCAGTGTACACACCAGACCCAGATTCAAATCCTGACTCTGCCACTTGGAGGCCCAGTGACCTCAGAGGCATCACTTGCTCTCTCTGGCCTTCAGGGTCCTCCTCTGGAAAATGGGGAGGCTTATTCAATGCCAGGGCCCAAGTTGTGGGGGGCATATGGGGTGCCTCCTCTGGCCACTGAGGAGCCAGACCCTGCAAAAGGTACAGGTGTGGACTTTGCCCCAGAGTGAGTGGCTGGCTTGGCCCAGGTGTGGGCCGAGGGGAGGGGGGCCTGCCAGCTGGATAGAGGCCCCCCTCAGGGCCTGGGTGTTGACTTTGGCAGGGACACCTGCCCTGACACCCCCCCGCCCCCGCCAACGCTGAGTTTAACTCCATCCCTGGCCTCCACGGGGAAGGGGGTTTTAGTGGATACGGCCCAGGTTTAAAGCCCAGCTCTAGCCCCAAATGGGTCCTGCCACCTTCTGTTTGTCAAAGGCGTGGGCCCCGTCTCCTTCGGGTTAGGGCTGACTCACCCCAGCCCCAGCCCAGAGGCTGCAGTGACAGTCCTCAACTCTAAGGAAGCCACATAATAAGAACCCCACCACCACCACTCCTCTCTACCCCTGATCCTTCCTTTCTTGGCAATCTGTCCCCACAGCTGGGCTGCTTCATCTGGGCCCCGACACCCCCCTTAGCCTTCACGGCCTCCCGAGGCCTCAGTTTCCTCGGCTGCCTATGGCTACTCCTTGAGCTGCGCAGGGAGGCTCCAGGAGGCCTGGGTGAATGGAAGGCACGCAGGCAGAGGAACCCTTAGCAAAGCTATTTCTCAATCGCCTGTGGGGCCTTTTTCCATTTTAAAAGAGGACCGAACCTGCCCGCTTTCCTGCCCAGCCCTCGGCCCCACCCGGTGTTCCGGGAGAACGAGTTCGAGGAGGGGAAGACGAGAGGCAGGAAACCTTTCCCCATGCTGGGCAGGGCTGCCAGGCTGGAGCCCTTACCCCACCCGCAGCCCCAGCCCACCTGTCAGCCGGCCCCACCTCTTCCTGACCATCAGCATCCCCTCCCTCATGCCTGGCACTAGATCAGGGTCCCCGGAGGGCTCGGCCCTGTTCCCCTGATGGATTTTGGGCGCCCCCGCCGGTGCAGGGGGGCTCAGGAGCTTCCTCCCATCACCATATGGTCCCATCTCCTGTTCCCAGCTGGGCTCTCTGCCCCGCCCGCGCCCCATTAACGCCGCTCGAGGAGCCCAGCTGGGTGGGGGCGAGGGAAGAGGCGTTTCCCCCACCGCCTGCCTTTGTTCCCCGGGCCCCGGGCCCTCCCTCTAGCCCCCGGCCCCCCAAACCTGCTGGGACGCGGAGGTGCGGGGCGGGGTGCGCTCCCTCGGAAGGGGTCACCTCGCGTCGGGGGGGGCGCTGCCCACGGGCGTTCCTCCTCCGAACTCGCTGCGGCCTGGCCCCAGCCGCGACGCC